GACTCGTCTTCTCTCTTGTTCTCTCGCTTGTTAACCAATCAAGTGATAAATTAGTTTCCATCTCTTCGCCTAAGGCTGTTAATCTCAATTCGAACTCATACCTTTCGAGCGTCAAGGTCAAACCAGTTAGCCTATCGTGTCAAGGTCTACTGTTTATTATTAGGTAGACAGATCAAGGACGTAACAAGACCAAAGAATGAAATGCTCTGGGAACAGGAGGCAGACATGATAAATCTTCTAATTGAACACTTGATTCGACTTCCTAAGGTCGTCTAGTAACCCACAGTTTAAATCTACACGGCAACTTGAACACGAGTGGAAAGGCGCGAAATGTAGGAAGGACGCTAAACTTTAAGGTTAGTTCATGTACAGAAACTTGAGGGTATTTATTGCTACTCAGATAGTCTTGGGCTTCTTGAAAGTTATGGAAACCTTCTAAACATAGTAGAAGGATAGGTAATCATTTAATTAGAAATGTGACACGTGACTCCTTATTTTCTAGATGTTTCTGGAATACTTCTGCTCAATGCTCATTGGATATGTTTCCCATCGTTTTCAGGGCCCTTTTGAGCTGCTTTAGAGGAATTTTCTAGGTCTCTTCAACACCTTCTCCCTTTCAAAAAATAAGACTTCTTCGAATCTACGTGCTGCTCGATGTCTGGTCTCCAGATGTGCTCCGACTTACTTGGTGTCCAGCGACTATGAGTGTTCGTTGAAGTTCCTGTCATTAGAACTCCAAAACAGATGCCATATTCCAGACAGATAACTTGCTGATTGTTTCACTGGCTGCGCGATTTGCTATAGCATAGATTTGTGGCCACTTTATGAGTGTATCTACTATAAACAAAAATATTTTTCTTCTTATTGGGCCAGCAAAACTTCATCTAGCCTCTCCCAAAGACTATTAAGCTTTTTCCATTATTGCGGTTCACATTTCATTGAACTTTTGGCTGCTTGCAAGCACGATGAATAATTGTGGCATCTAGTTTCTCTATCTTGATCCATCGTATGCCTGTAAGCATAGCTTCGAGAAAACGATTTCATCTTATTGATGCCTAGATGGCCGCTGTAGAGTCACTTCAAAACCTTTTTTGCGTAATGTCTTTGGAACTACGATTCTGTCACCAAACAAAATACATGAATCAACAATCATTAGAGAATCCCGCCGGCTAAAACATTGTAGTGGTTTTCCTTGAGAACGAAGGTTCGTCCACTTAGTGAGAACTTACTTTTCTTAATGCCTTCTCATCTCCCATAGCTTCTTTGATAGTTTTGAAAGTAACTGGTAGACCATCGACTGTGTATTCCAACATACGGTGTACCTCTGTTTCCGTCTCAATTGCTGCCACCAAAGTATCTTCTTCACGTTCCACTCATAAACCAATCAGTCTAGACAAGGTGTCAGCTTTTCCCTAACAGGACATTCAAAGAATGATTGCATTTGGAAATATCTGGATAGGAGAGACGAGGATAGAGTTGATAGGAGAATCCTGGTCGGAGGCCTATGCTCCTCCAAGAGGGGTAACAGCCATTAGTAAGTAAGTAGTTGTAGTTATCGGATCCACCACATCCAATATCGCATGTAAAGGTTTCTACAAATGATTTATATCGGGCCTAAGTATCTTTTAAGAGAAGAGCATTTTATTTATTGTCGGAGCAATTCAAATGATGGGAAACAAAATACTTTATAAACATTACAGTCCGTCATAAGCAAATGATGGTATATTACAGGAAAAATCCAAAAAGCTTTTCTCTCCACAAATATCTTTCATGTGAGAGAGTAAATTTATATGGAATATATTTTGATAGAGAAATGATACTTCATTCATCCCATTAATCCTTTTGGCTACGAATATCACTTATCAACACAATAGATTTATAAAACGTCGCGTGACTTTTGATAAACAGTATGTACGTTTTGAAAAAAACCCAACATACTGAACAACTGGTTATCTTAACTAAAAGCAAACGTTCACGTAAATAAATAATTTCAGTAACATTAAGATATGATCCAAATAATTTCTATCCTGAAAAAAAGGGGGATGTGAAACTGTGTAACTTAGATGAATGTATTTGATACTCTTACATTCGTCATGTTAATGAGCTTAATTGTGTTCTCGTATTATTGCATTAGACAACATCTCAACCGATGATTTCAAAAGTAAAAAATGCTGTTTGAATGCTTTTGATCAACTTAAACGCTTCCATTCAAACATATAAAATGGAACTTAAATAGGGAGATTTGTTTTTCCAGTCAGTGATATAAGATGATTCCAAACCTACACTGATATTTTTTGTCTTTTTTTCTTATGTTACCATTTTTAACAATTAATGGCTTTCCACCTAGATTCATTGACAGTAATCTTAAACCAAAGCATCAAAATGAAAGAACATCCAAAGAATATTCTCTCTAAGAATATTAAACTTGATTAAGATATGATAGCAGAGATACTGTGAACTAATCTTTCGGAATCTTTAGAAAAAAACGTTTTATTCTGCTAAACTACAAACTATCTCATCCAGTCGTCTGTTCGTTCTTGAATGTAGGAAGGAAGAGTTTCTGTTTTTGTTCACATCTATGTGCATCTATAAGTTAACTTGCTCTTTTGGTGCAGGATATATGCGCCGCAAAAAGCGAGCTGTCTCGATACGTATCTCTAAGTAAAACAGTGTTTGGTTATCAAAAGGACTACTAAAGTCAGTCAACAGTTCGACTCTTAAACCTCTCCTAAACACTGGTCATCTGAGCTCACCAAAATCCTCTTTCACAGTCATCTATAAAGTCAAACAAAATGGTTCAAAAGGGATTATAAATCAGGAACTTAGTTACACCAGAGGCGTTACTGGTTCACTGATTCCATCCTAACATCTGTGTACAACAGCAACATGTTCGATTTCGCATTCTACTGAGATCTTAACCCTCTTTTTTCTACCATCAATTCTTCATAATGACAAATTAACTATTATCACAATATTTACTTATTCTGTTCTTCATTTTTATTAAATGAACAGCAATCATTCTTCTACAAAATATCTTCATTCTAACAATTTCTCATTACATAATTTCCTTTCTATACTTGATATTTCCCATCAATTTATAACATAATACTACCTTATGTTAATAACGTCCTAATATTCTTTACACTAAAAATTGTCTTCTATCCGTAATCCATTTTCAATTTGGTACTTGATAACATGTTCGACCACCTTTTATATGATGCACTATTTTTCCATTTTATTATAGACTTGTGTTTTAACCTACTATATATACGATTGTACAGATTTAGTTAACGATTTGGAACAGGGGATGTTTTCTGCTGAATTATTTTCATCTCTTTTTTAAGTACACAATAGCTTTTTTATCGATAAGCTCTGTGAGGATAAGTTTCATTCGTAGATATTTAGCTTTAACCTCGGTTTGAGTATCACTGTTTATCGGGGACTTCATTTGAAATGAGTCCTTGTTCTTCAAGTGAGATCAATGGATTCTTGACATGTTGGAAGTAATAATGCTGTCATCAGTGGAATTTGTAAATATGGACCACTAGATAATGACTCTGTGTTATAAGTGTTAGGGGCTCCCCAGCATACCTGAAGGTCGTAAAGCCAATCCTAAGTGATATTGATATTGCTCACTGCTGAGACGTTCTAGACAACGGAAGAGTGTTGATAACTTCGGAATTGTGCACTTATAAAATACTTATGTAGCTCGTTTTATATGTGTAGTTAAACAAATTTATTTAACTAACTTTAATCATATTGACACATTTAGTTGCAAATGAGAATGACTTGGTGGAATCAGAATCCAGAACTAAACTACATTATTAACAGGATATTCTTTAAAGTTTGTCAGTTGATTTAAATTTTATATAGTACATGGTTGTCATCAGTCCCTTTAAAAAAAGGGTAAGCCAAGCAGTATATTTTTTGCAATGAATGTTAAAAAAATTAAACAGTTAATAGTAAAACAGCCAATGCTGAACATTCACTTCTCACTGAAAGCACGATGTCACACAATCAGTGGATTGAAGTACAATGGCCAACGTTTTCATTTTCAGTCAATGTAAGATACACGTCAGTTTTCAGCCAACTTCATCAATTTACTAATACTTCACTTACGGTCTCACTAAAAATTCCGAAAATCAATTCATATACTGATGTAATAACAATATTTGGGGCAATTCCTTAAATTACAGTCATCCTCCAGCTGATATAATGAAAACCACTGTTACCTTTTTGAGGTACTTGGAAAAACAGCTTGATAGCCTTCTCATTCGTAGAATGATAAATGCATGATACTAAGGATAGTTGTTGTAAACGATTCCAGAAATTATCTATTACTCAATCGTGTTTACACTAGATCTATAATAAGTCACTTTCAATTGATTGTGTCAGTTGTACTTCTTGTTCCAGCCACTGTATTATCTTTAACAAAGCTGAAATTGAATCGTAACCAAATGACTAACTTCATCGTAAACTGCAGATTTTCCAGTCTTCTAACTTTCTTTGCTCTTCACAGTTTACCGATAAGTGAATCTTGATTGACTGAGATAGATGTGTTACATGAGACTAATCACTGATTAGGCTGTTTTCTGGTGTAGAAGTCGGTTCGATGAAAATTAAAAACAATCCAAACAGAATATGGCATCAACCTCTAACGTCTCTGAATGTTAGTCTGAACCATGTTTGTCGACCAATGGTTGAAGATTTGGGGTGACATGATCCAAATTCGATCACAATGACGCAATCTCATTAATAATTTACCTCACTTTAGTTCCAGTATTCCTCCATACACATCTTTTCATTCTCTCTTCTTGAACTATATTCTTATTGCTTAATATTACTCATTGTAATTACTACCATAGAGCTAAAGTTATTTTGAAATTCTTCTTGTTAACTTTATCTCGTCTTAGAGATGTATTATGGCATTTATGTTAAACTCAACGTTAATTATAACTGACCGACTATCAGTTAATTTACAATAAACATAAAGTTCAATTTTATTTCATGTTGATCAGAGGAAATGTTTTCGACCAAAAAATCGTTTTTGTACACCAATAAATCAATGGATAACGTTTTCTCCCCATTTTATTCTCATCATCATCATCATCATCATCATCATCATCATCATCATCATCATCATCATCATCATCATCATCATCATCATCATCATCATCATCATCATCATCATCATCATCATCATCATCATCATCATCATCATCATCATCATCATCATCATCATCATCATCATCATCATCATCATCATCATCATCATCATCATCATCATCATCATCATCATCATCATCATCATCATCATCATCATCATCATCATCATCATCATCATCATCATCATCATCATCATCATCATCATCATCATCATCATCATCATCATCATCATCATCATCATCATCATCATCATCATCATCATCATCATCATCATCATCATCATCATCATCATCATCATCATCATCATCATCATCATTTTCTTTACTTTTGAACGAAATTTTTAACCAACAAACAAAATTGAAAAAAACTTTTGAACTTGAATAACGATTTACCTTAGTAATTTTGTCTTTATAACATTTTTTTGATATTTCGTCAGATACATTCTTCATATTTCCTTCTTTTCTCTCATTTTCTTTGCCACTGTCTCAACTCTCTCGTTTTTCCCTCTCTCTCACCTCCCTCCCTCTCCCCCTCTTTCTCTTTACCTCTCTATTTCTCACTTTATTTTAACAATTTCATCTAAGTTATTATTAATTGTTTCAATTAATGTTATCTAATTAATTTTTCATTATTCTGCCACAAATTGATACAGTATAAAAGAAAAAAAACAAATGAAATAAATAATCAGTATAGAATTGTGGAGATTATTAAGCTTTGATTGAGATCACGAAGCACTTGATGATAGACCATCTATGGAAACCTGGAAACACTGGGCGGCCGTTTCGTCCTACTGTGGAACTCCTCAACAGTGTATTGGTTGATATAGACACTAACACCATTGGATCCCGTCTCAGTGGTCCAGTAGGTTAGGCACTTGCACACAAGACTGAGGGCCCTGGGTTCAAATTCCGCGAGTAGAATCGTTGATGCGCACTGCTGAGTAGTCCTAGAATAGGAAGAAAAGGCTGTCCAGTGCTTCCAGGTTTCCAACGACGGTCTAACATCAATTGGTTCATGATCTCAATGGAATCAATGAACACAACAATTCAAAATGGTGACCAATAAAACTGTTCAGTAAAATCAAACTAAATCATCTAGTTCAGAGAACAAAACCCCATCAAAATGATCCACCTGAGCTACAAATCTTCTCCTCCATCCTAAAATGAAAATATACATTTAAATATTTTGTCAGAAATAGAAAATTTAAAAAAATAATTCTCTTTTTCTAAAAATGGAAACGATATATCTCTACATTTTGTTTATTTTATGCCAAAAAATAACATAATTTTTACATTCTAATAATAATAATAATTCTTTATAATGCATTAGTTGTATTGTAGTGTGTACTACAGATGTCGACAGATATAAGTAGTATGTATTATCAATCGAAAGCGAGATGCCTGGAGGTAGAGGGTCAAGAAAAACAAAGAAAATAGAACGAGAACAAAAAGATGATTAGTGTGAAAACGAAGGAACAATGGAGTCTGAGACGATTGATTGATAATTTGCTAAATAAAGTATTTACAGGATGGTTCTCAGATTTTATTAAGAGATTCTGTAATTTTGTGTTCAAATATATTTGACTGAAATCATGAGTCAGTTGAAGCTAGGTCACCAAAGAAAATCCTGAAGCACCTGAGGGCTGTTTCGTCTTAGTATGGGACTCCTCAGCAGCGCGCATTCACGATCCGGAACCCCGCGAGATTCGAACCCATAACCAACTAGACCACTGAGTCGGCCGGCATCCAGTGGTGTCAATGTCTAACGTCAGCCGGTCCACGAAATTGCACGACCATCTTCCATTTTACTGAGGTAGACCCCTATTTCTACCCGACACGGATTAGCTCCACTGGTCAACGGGTTCTCACCAGAACTCCGAGAATTTAAATTTGATTGTCCTCACTTGTATGTTCTCGTTCACTACAGTATCATTTAAATTAATGATAATAATTTGTTCTTCATGAGTTATGTATATCCTTTCGACTTATGGTATTTATTTATTCAAGAGCTCATTTATCGTTTATCCGATATTCAATAGTGATCTGTTATTTATCAGTGAATTATGTTATTAACAGTCGACATTGGTAGAATGTGAAGTGAAAAATAAAATGTAACAATACTATAGTTCTAATTTAATCATAAATATATTCATCATATTATATTTCAGTATTTATTTAGTATGTTTAATCTTACAAAGTTTAATCCGCTTATAGGGAACATACGGAAAGCTCCACGACTAAACCATCCAGCTCAGAGAACAAAACTCCATCAAGAACATACTTTGAAGCTATTTACCAAAAATTAATCAATAAATTTAGTAAAATCCAGGAACTACTTTAAACTATTGTTTTAGTGCTTGTTTCAGAACAATATAAGCCTCAAATTGTTGAATAATTTACATTATCCAATACACTGGAACATTATTCAATAATTTATGTGATTAAGATCATAGAAAAGTGTCATCATAAACATCGAATATAGATATGTACTATAATTCAGATCAGTTCGCATTGAACTGGTAAAACGATGGGTATAAAATGTTTTATGATAATAACAAAGATTTATATGATTTATCATATGGATCATTTTCAGAGATTATTAGCAATTTTCCAAATAGTTATTCATTATTGAAATCATGAACTAACCTATGTTAGACCACCAGTGAAAACTTGAGAGAACTAGATGACCATTTCGTCTATGTATGAGACTCACTAGCATTGAGAATCCACGATCTCGAGCGCGGAACTTGAATTCGAACTTGGAACTTTCGATCACACAAGAGAATGTCTAACATTCTTACTTGATCGTCCAACATTTTGATTAGTTCACAAATCTTTTCATTTGAATCGGTGTCTTTCTACTGCTAAACTTATATGAGTAAACTAAATCGTCAAACTATTCGGCTTATATTTCATGAACTTGAGTTTGTTTGTTAACATCTAATATGTTATCTATCTATGATTTTCTTAAAAATAGTAAACATACACTAAAATACTTCAATAATACTGTGCTTTTCTTGAAACCTTAGTGTGTCGTATTCGATTTCATGTTTAGTTGAGAGGAGTTCAAAATCAAAGTAGAATAACTAACCTACAGTATTTTGGTTGACATCGATAGGCGGTAATGGCCTACTGTGCATATTTCACAATCGTCTTAGCAACTAAAGTTGGTCTATATGTTTTTACCTTGTCGCGGATCATCGATATATATATATATATATATATATACTTTCATTATTCGTTCAATGAGCTAAAATAGTTACATATTCACATATTTAACCGAGAATAAACAATATACTTTCATAATATAAGTAAGTTATATTTTGATCATATATATACACAAATACAAAAGTGTCAGTATATTCTATTAAAACCAACCGCTTATGATATAACAAAGTTATAACCAAATTCCTTTAGTGGATAATCGTCTTATTCCTGAACGGGTTGAAATAAATACTAAAAAACATATATCGATTTCCTTAAATGATTTCTGTACCGGAATACAAAATATATGATAATTGTATTATTATACTAGTCATGCACATTCATGTTCATATTATAACCTTTTTCCTTTATTCACTATCTTCAATAGGTATCATATTAGCATTGCTGAATATAGGTTTTTGAATATGATCAAGAACGCAATGTACGATTTATGACATTTGGAATAATTTCTTCCAGTTATGACAGCTACATACAATTGAATTGTGAAAAGTCCAAACTTATTATCATTAGTAATTAAACTCATTTCCTGTCTGTTATATATTTTGTGTGTGTGTGTGTAAATAATTCATGGAAGCGTGATAAACTATCACGAAATAAATAATTTTCATCTCAGGATTCTTGCCAATTTCACGATGATGAAACAAACTCATCCAGCTTGTTGCTTAATTTAGTCATCTGATATAAACTATTGTAAGTGATGCAGCCTTAACATTCATTCTTTACACCTGAATGTGCATTTATAGTTATTACTGAACTATGACATGATATAACAATAAATGTGAATCACAACTAATTTGAGAAAAAATACAATGTGATGATTTTTCAATGCAGTCTTAATGTGAATATATTCACCATTACGGATAGACATGATGAAAGGAAATACTTCAAGCCATGGTGAGCATAGAATCATAGATGGTGTCGTAGGTTCACACTACTAAACAATTTCACAGAAGATCGAAATGACTATATATGAGATAGTTTTCTTCAATCATGTTTCAATTAAAATAATTCCACAACGAAATCTAATTTGTAAACACAAATATAATTGACAGTCTTTCAGTTTTTACTTGAAAACAATCATTTATTTATTTACACACATAGCATTTCAACACAGAATATTTCGTATCGACTTCAACGTTTATCTTGTCAGAAGGGGTATTGTGTATATTATAGTAATTTTAATAGTTGAGATGATGAGTCCATTGAAGCTAGACCATCAAGGACCAAAATTACCGATGGTCAATCAATTGTTTCGGACATATTACGTCTGGATTAATGGAAATACTGCCGCCTGAAACAATGAATATCCATAATGTTGCACGTTGTGAAATAAATCGTTTATTCATCAAATCATTTCTCTTCAGTTCTACATACACCTACTACTTAACACTAAGTGAAGCTTGAGAAAGTGTTCTGTTGATGTATGAACCAATTATGTTTGATTGTTTTACAAATGTGCATCCGATTCTAGCAATCCTCTGAATGACAAATTTGGAAGAATAATCTGAATATATGAATTAGACATATAATTAGATAAACAGTAGTCTTTTGTTTGTTTATTTGTTTGTTTCTTCAAAACTACAGAAATAAACCATCAATCTAATCAGAATCGTTCACAACCTATTCAGTTGGTTTATTTCAACGAGGTCCTAATCAATAAACATGACCATTCCCACCTTCATGGAATCTTTGTATTCCACGACATTTTATTTATGTTTTTCTCGTTTTATCTCTCAAATACGATAGTTTATATTCAAGTGAATTAATTTGTTCACTAACAACTATCATTGATATGATCCAGTTTCCTTCAGCCCATTTATTTATATACTGAATAATTTATGAAAACGAATCCATGAATTAGATAATCATAATTATTGTCATTATTGTTCTATGTCTCCTATTTACTTTCCTTTTTATCACTGTGTCATCTTTTATTCATTGTAGAAGAAAAAAATTATAATTAATGGAATCATTTCAGTTCTATTCTACAACATAACCATATGCTTAGCTTGGTAGACATATGTGTAATTGTATAAATCAGTAAAATATGTTGTAATGCGTTATATGTGATTTGGGACAATGAATTGTTTTTACAATGGAGACGATGTATGAATGTGTGTTATGGTTGTACTAGTAATATGTGGCGACTAAATCTTGGAAATTGAGTGAAATTCTTTATTCCCTAAGGTGAAGGAATACTGTAGTAACAAAATTTTGCAAAATGA